AAACACAAAGCCCCCATGGCTCATCCATGTCTCGAGGCGGTCACACAACAGAGGGGTTAATTCTCCCTTTTGGAAAACGCAGGTCTCCCCTTCTGGGTATATAGCCTGCAGGCCCCCCACCACTTCTCTACAGCAACACCCCTCCCCTTTTCTCCATGGCTGCTCCCCTCCATCAGCATCCTATCCTCCTCTCCTGCCTCTCACCTCGGGCCGTCCCTCCAGGAACCGCCCGCCATACAAGGAGCATCAGGTTGTGTTGATTAGGCACCCGGTGAGTCTGTCCTCCCTAAAATCTGCCTGCTATTCACGGCTAAAGGGGGGGGGGGGGTGGAGGCATAGAATTGGGGGGATGGGTGAGATGGGGTCCAGCTCTATAGCATTTTTCTCCCTGTTTTGTGGAGAGATTGGAATGGCATCATCACAAACGCAACATATCCTAGTTTAAAATCTTAGCTTACCCTGTACTGTTTGCATTGACAAGGCCGATGTAGCAGCACTGATGAACGGCAACATACAACGTTTTATTTATATAGTAGACAATATAGTTGAAATGTTGGTTACATTATGGTTTAGTTATTTTAAAGAGATCACCAATGAAAGTTGCTCGAGGGTCCTAATAATAGTCTGGTAGTTGGATTGTTGAGTGTATTTTGCTAAATTAGTTATCTCTAGGAAATGCACAGTTCTTCCTCTGATCATCTGATTTTTGACAAATCAAGAGATGTACAGTGTAATATTCTCACTATCTTTGCAGTATGTCCAAAACTTCAATCATTTTGGATTCTTTTCAGTAGTTTCTACCTTTAACCTGATCTCAAAAACTCCCAATTGACCTCTTTTACATTCTCGACCCTGCAACTTAAAGAAACAAGAGCTTTCCTCTCCAAAGTGTGATTGGCTTGCCGTAGTCCCAGAACCCTAAAAGTTCAGGATACTAAATCTGTAGGCCTGTGAGAGGCAGGGGGCGGGACCTTGCTGCCCCGTTTAAAGTGTGTCAGAATCTTCTCTAGACGTCTAGTCTCTCTGTTGGGGTGCACACGGATTGACCACTCCTTTGGACTTTTCTTTTTTTCCTTGGATAATTGGGGAGTAAAAGCTAATCCACAAACATGGTAAGACCGATCTTAACATCCTGTTAACCCAGCCGTTAGTTATTAAGCCAGTTATAAAACCAAAAATAATGAAAGCATGTGAATTAGGAAGTTGATTGATTAATAAAGGCATTCTGAACGTGTCAGAAATAAATTGGCTGAGTGTTAAGAAGCATGTCTCATTCTGTTGAAAAATATTAATCTCTTGGATAAAATTGACCTTTTTCTGATAATTATATTTTTAATGTAAAGACTTTTTTTCTTAGCGTATTGTAGTAGGATTCCTATTAAATTAAAACGTTATCAGATTCTGTTGCAAATTTTACCGATCGTAGTTCAGAGTTAAGATGGGTGAGTCGTTGGGGGGGGTGTCAGCTGGGAAGGTGCAGATTCTGCTTATGCGACAAATTCCTCAGGATTAAATGTCTGCAGGCCATATACAGCGCGCGTAATGTGTTGAGCCCGAAATAGCTCAAGATTCCTCTTAGGCACGCTCAAGAATCCTTTTGAGACTTGGCCACTATTTGCTGCACAAATCACTTATGACAGCATGTTATTACCAAAAAGACTTGAAAGTAACGTAAAAATAACAATTATATATCGACAGCATATTCCTCAATGTAGCCAATGTGCGTACTGGTGGTTTGACTCCCCTGTATCGCCAAAATGATATTGTATAGGCTGAAATTTCAATGTCTAATTGATCAATTAAACACTGAAATGGCGAATGAAGTAGTGACAGCGTGGCTCCTGTTTTCTTCCAGACTGACGCGCAACAAGAGGCCCGCGGCTACCTGAGCGAGGAAATGCTGGCTGGTGAGTAGGCTACAGGCTACAGTAACGCGTTACTTAAGTAAACTCGTTACTTTGCCCTTGGGGTCAGTAACCTAAGAACTTGCTACCTGTGGGTTGCAGGAAATACGTTATGTGAAGTGGACATGTTGATTTGAATAGTGTTTTCTATATATTATTGTTTTTTTAATATTATATTATTTACTTAAATATTAATACGGTGGTGTTAAGATAGAATATAGGGCGATAATATTCTCTAAAATAATGAAAAATGTGAAATAGGGTATAATGGTTGCAAAACACGTTTTTATCACAGAAATGTAACACATTGCTAATCAGATAGGCTAATAATAAGCATGCTGTTTTATACTATCACACTATTATCACACACATATATATCACGGTCAAATGTGTCATCCAGTTCCACTCCACGTGTTACACCCCCGTTGTTCACACAGAGGTGTTAATAATACGTGTTGAACAACCAAGAGGGCAATGCGAAGTAGGACAGCTTTTGAATAACGAGACACATTTCTTCATCCAGAGTTCAAAGCCGCCTTCGACATGTTTGACACCGATGGTGGCGGAGACATCAGCACCAAGGAGTTGGGTCAAGTGATGAGGATGCTGGGCCAGAACCCGACAAGAGAGGAGTTGGATGAGATCATCGAGGAGGTCGATGAGGACGGTGAGTGGCCGATAATAAAGTGTTACACTGAAAGCAGCACAGTAGGAGCAGTAGTATTGTGCGCAATGGGTGTTTTACGCACAGACAAGAGACTCCGACACTCTATACGTAGTCCACATCACATCAAATAAACCAAGTTGATTGACAAAGCTACTACAACACAACTCTATATAGCATTATTTGGAACCCAAACTATCTGTGATTATGCGTCAGTTATAGGAGTATTACGCGCAGATGTGTAATCAGAGTATTGGTCCAAAGGCCCAAACAACATGACGTCGACCTCTAAACAGATCATTTAGCTCTTAGTTTTGTTTTACATTATATAAATCATTACATCACATGGATAGGGGATCATTTACTTTAGGATGTCCTTTCCCGTGGTTGATGCGTAAAATGTCCCCGCGCCACAGCACACGACATTGTTCGGGCCTGTTTGGGCTGACCATTGTTAATCAGTTATGTGGACCTTAATAACCCTCAGGTAGCGGTACCATTGACTTCGAGGAGTTCTTGGTCATGATGGTGAGGCTGCTAAAGGAGGACCAGGCCGGCAAGAGCGAGGAAGAGTTGTCAGAGTGCTTCCGTATCTTTGACAAGTACGTTCACGCGGTTACTGTCACGCTGTACTCATTTTAAACAGTAGTATTTTTGTTTGCTCTATTTGTTTGTGTACACAATCCTTTACGTGTGTGTTTTTGCGCAGGAACGGCGACGGCTACATCGACAGAGAGGAGTTCGCTCTCATCATCCGCAGCACCGGCGAGCCCATCTCAGAGGATGAGGTCGATGAGCTGATGAGGGATGGAGACAAAAACACCGACGGCATGCTGGACTTTGACGGTACGGCATTTTTTGCTATTTTAAAGAATCCTTATATTTTTACAAATACTTTTACTTTATATTATGTACAAAACTTAGAAGAAAACACTTGATTATATCAATTGATCTCTAAGGTATCCGATTTTTTAAATAATCTTATTTTTTTTCGTTGAACTACATGATATCTGATACTGATGTTTTAGTGACTTTAGTGTTAGTTACTTATATATTACTTAGGTATATTTTGTAAAGTAATTATTTACTTATCCGGTTTCTTCTTCTTTTCCAGAATTCCTCAAGATGATGGAGAATGTGCAGTAAAACCGGAAAGACTCATTGACATTCCTCCTCCTCCTCCCTGTGAACTCCCATTCTGAACGCATCTGACCCCCACTTACACACCCTCACGCACTCCCTCTCCTCCCTACTCTCCATCTGGTTCACTGCCTCTCTTCTCCATCCTTAAAGCCATCCTCAACAGACAGCTATAGGGCACTCGGCGGAGGGGGGGGGGGGGGGCTGGGGAGGGTACCCTCTTCCCCAGCTCACTTGTGAATGCAGAAGGATGCTGCGCTGACGCCTCACCCTGTGACAGGACGGCACAGCTGTAATGCAGAAATGTGCTGCTCACAAGTGCCCCCCTCCCGCACCTGCTGGAAAAGCTCGGGTCTATTTAGAGATCTAGATAGAACGGCAGCATTCTACCTGCTCCTTAGACCAACGAATCCAACCACGTCACTGTACAAAGAAGTAAAGTGCTTCAACAGAATAAATGAGTTAACACAAATGCTCACTTGTCATATTTATGGTCTGTGTAAAAAAATGTTTTGAGGAAAATCAATAAAATCTGTTTGTTTCTTCGTTTTGTCCATCGTGTTTAAAACCACAGCCAGTGTAGTCTTCATCACTATTGCTGACCACACTGATTGGGGAACTGCTTTGGAGCAAAATACTTTTTTACGTGTACGGAGATTGGTCAAACTTTTTTGTAAGAAATGTGATCATGCAATTATGAGGATAATCAGGGTTTAAGTCCTAAACAACTAGATTCAGATTCAACTAGATTATTTTCTAGTTGAATCAATTTTTCATTTTGTCTATAAAATGTCAGAATTAAGTACAAGTTTCCCATCAGACTTTCACAGGATCAAAGTTGACGTATTTAACTTGTTTTTGAGAGCCTTTCAAAATTAAATAAAAAATATTAAGATTAAAATAAAGCAGCAAATATCCACATTGAAAAGCAAGAGGATTTTGATTGTATGTTTAGAGACTAAAAACGTATAATTGCTAGTTAATGTTAGCTGTGGTATATGTCATGAGAAATACAAGTTGGTTGGCTGTTAACCACTATTAGAGGGTTACGTTGACTAGTGTTTGTGATATTGAGCAATAAATGTCACTGTTCCAGATTTAAGGAAAAGTCGATTTAAATGTCAAGCTGTTCCTGTTTTGGAAAAAATTTTAAGGAATAATAATGTTGACAATTCATGCAGGAAAAAGGTTTGGACTCTCTCCAAAATATATTCTTGGTAAACAAGGATAGAGAAGATTTGTGTCCATGTTGTCCATGTGTTCTGGAAAAGAATAAAACTACCATTCTGACAAGATGTTGGTAGATTTAATCAATCATTTAAATGAAGCAAAATTGAGAGGATTTGTGTTCCTTTCTATGTTGACCCCCTGGCATGTTTAATATAACGTAATGTTATATATTCATCCCGTCATTTGCTTTTAAATAAACACGCCCCTATGCATGCGTTTGATCTGGATGTATTTGCTATTTTATCTGGGTATTCTTATATATTAACATTAATGACTGTACATATTAAAACAACAATTATTTATTGAGAATCCCAGACAGATATGAGAACAGGCAACAATGTTTGTCTCTGCCATACCACCATACGAAATAATAAACGTTAGATCAGAAAAAACAGACTTTGGACAGCAAGTCAAGTCTGAACACAGGACAGCTATTACAAATAATGTAACAGCCACATTTTGTTTATGAGCCATAATTAGCTTCATCGAAAGCTTTGCGAGCTCTCTTCAGCTCCTCGTTCATGGTCAGCAGGTCTTTGACACGGGCGAACTTCCGAGGGTCCTTCCGAATTAGAAAAACGATGTCCTCCACCTGGACACGGCCCTGGCGTCCGATAGACATGGCTTTGTGGGTCATTTCGGTGACAAACTCGATAACCAAGTCCTCCAGAATATCCACAGACTCAGTATACGGGTTCTGGTCGTCTCCAAATCCGTACATCATGCACCGGAGCTCCTTGGAGAAGAGCCTCTTCCTCTTCCCGTGGCCGCAATCCACTCCGCCGGACCCGTCGTCCATCTCCTCATCGTAGCCAGTCTCGTCCTCCTCATCCGCCATTCTGCTGAAAAACACAAGAAAACTATATAAAAAAAACTCAACTAGAAAAACGCCTTATCATCGAGCCTCATCATATATGCTAACAAAACAATATATGCGTGTGAAGTAAACAGAATACTCACATTCGTGTTTAATTTACCTTGTAGTTCAGCGCAGCACTGAGCACAACATAACAGACTTTCTGTTGACTTCCGGTTTTTTCTTCTTCTGTTGTTTGAAAGGCGGTTTACAGACAGATTTCAGGTGCATTTCTTCCGGTTTTCTTCAACTGGAAGTTATTTGGGGAGAACAGAGGAGTGCTGTAGACAGTACTGCCCCCTAGCGGTTATTTTACTTAGGAGTCATCTCTGCTCACCGCTACATACAGTTTAAGGTTGATTAACGAATGTTCTTCAGCGATATATTCAACCCCAGGTCAACATGACTAACGGTGGGTATCGTTAAGCATATTTCCTCTCATACTTCCCTTCTTTTTCTTTAGTTTGCTGCCAGCAAATGTTGTTGTGTTGCATGCCAAACTCAACTCAGAAAGATAACTATTTAACATACCAGTGTCTATGTGGTTCACCGCCATGCTACATTATAAATTCACCACTGGAAGACCGCGTTAATTAAATCTCACTTCCTTTGAGTAAGCCGAATTGAAGAACGGTTCACACTCATTCGAGCAATGTCTGCGGTTGTAATGCTTGTGACTTAAGTGAGAAATAAACCCGGCCACTAAGACTGCAGAGATGTATCAATGGAGTTCGCTGTGGGTGTCGTCATACAAAAACAATGACACGTCCCGGTTCGGCGCACTGTCACTATTTGCAGAAGTCAGGGGATGTTGGCAGCTTAAATACACGTTATGGTCTACGCAAAGACATAACGGATTTGTTTCTTTAGAAAGTTAGCTAGCGTTATTGAACCTATACCAAATATACAATAGCAGGCAAATATCCACTAATGGGCTCCCGTTATAAAGTTACTTTGGTTACTAACAACTGGACAAACTCAGCATCTGCCATCTGTTGAGGGCAACCACTACATTGGCTATTGGTGAGTTCATTAGCTAATATAAGACGATGCTCTCTAGTTAATGATGGTGAACTGTTTATAGTTTGAAGGCTAACTGTGGCTAATGTGGGGGAATCTTGCTTACGTGGTTAAACCGCTAGCTGATAGTGGTTGCCAACTTAAGCTAACACTAATATTGCCATTAAGCTAACAGTGCAGCAGGCTAATGTATAACTCTAATAACTAGCTAACTATCTAGCTACTTGTTCAGGTGTAACATCTCTAACCTCTGAATCAGAAACAGGTTTACACATACGAGGGATTTATCTTGGTGTAAATGGTGCCTACATAAACACAGTTAAAGAAGATGAAGTGTAAGAAAAACAACCAAAACTATTATAACATAATAAAATATAGGGAAATAAATAAATGAAATATAAATACACCAACAAATCCGTACAGTATAATATAAAAATACTAATAAAATAAAACAATACATGTGCAGTATTGTTATGTGGAGTTGGCAGCTGTGCAGATATTAACACCTTGTCTCCCCCCATCTCTTTCACCTTTGTCTCCCCCCCCCCCCCCCCTCTCTTGAAGCTAGGGCTGATAGGAAGGGCTGCAGATTCAGTTTGAAGATGACATTTCTACATTAGCTGTCTTTTCTGGATCTTTCCTGATCCTGACAGACCTGTATGGCGTGCCCGGTCCAGTTCCTCTGCCGGGGAATTCGCACTGTTGGATTAGTTCTCCTATACTATGCCTTCTCTATAGGCATCACATTCTATAACAAATGGCTGATGAAGGTAAGTGAAGAGGTCTTAGGAACAGGACTGTTCATCTGCACAGGGCATGCAGGGTTTTCTCTTGGGTGTTAAAATCATCAAACCAGATTAACATAGCGTTTCTGTGTTTTTCTCACAGGGCTTCCACTATCCCCTCTTCATGACATTAGTTCATCTCACCATCAACTTCTGCCTGTCTGCTCTGACTCGAAGGGCCATGCAGTGCTGGACAGGGAAACCTCGCGTCATTCTGAGCTGGACAGATTACCTCCATAAAGTGGCTCCTACAGGTGAGATTTTAGTGGAGAGTTTTACATAGCTGTTCAGAATGCATCAGTCTATGCAGCGAACACATGATAAGAAAAGCAACTGATAGTCAGCTCTTATCATGTTCAGAGTACTTTGACTAAAGTCCATTTAGTCAAAGTACACACACACACGGGGGGGGGGGGGGGCAACAGCGGTAATTAAAGTTTAAAAGTCTCAAAAATGCTACAACTACTGTCACAAACTGGATGAATGTGAAGTATTTTGTTAAAGGAGGATGAAAGCGTAATTAAGGAGCACTATTGGAGTGACTTTGATGGTTATTGGACTCAGGATTAATTCATTTGGATTCCCGCTGTATGAAGAAATTAAAGGACGGAAAACAATGGAAGTGGAAACAATTCACAAAGGGATTAAACTGTTTAAAACACATGCTCAAAGTAAGCCGGATTTTGCCGATGTGTTTATGTGGATTCAAAAGTCGTAAATAATCTACAAAATGGAGGAGACCGATCTGATCGGAGCAACTGTGACGAATAATCCAACTGAAACCGGCGTGGACAATGACTGTTTTAAAAATGCGCTTATCCAGAAAAGCCCGGTTTGGACACTTTATGGGCAGAAGAAACATTTCTATAGAAAGAATTATACATTTCTGTCTTTTTCTGCCTTTAATAGCTACTAACTTGAATTTTTATTAAAATTAATTAATCAATTATTTTGTATATTTTATTGTAATGTAGAGACAAGGCTTTTAGTGACAATCATGTAGTGCCTTACAATTATATGTAAAAAAAAAAAAATGTAAAAAAAAGTCTAAAGATGATATTTGGCCTCAAATCATCTGAGGCCTGGCGCCCCCCCTGCGATCTTTGGCGCCCCCCCAAGGTCCGAAAACCAGTCAGTATCTGGTGTGAGGGTTAGGGTAATGTTGTGAATCGAGTGGCCTGTGTTCGTGGTCCATAACATACGCCTGCCCATACCATAACCCCACCACCACCATGGGCCACTCGATTCACAACATTACCCTAACCCTACCCCTCACACCAGATACTGACTGGTTTTCGGACCCCCCCAGACCCCCCCAATAAAGCAAAACTGCATGTTTCAGAGTGGCCTTTTATTGTGGCCATTCTAAGGCACACCTGTGCAATAATCATGCTGTCTAATCAGCATCTTGATATGCCACACCTGTGAGGTGGGATGGATTATCTCGGCAAAGGAGAAGTGCTCACTATCACAGATTTTTTGAGATTTGTGAACAATATTTGAGAGAAATGGTTATTTTGTGTATAGAAAATGTTTTAGATCTTTGAGTTCATCTCATGAAAAATGGGAGCAAAAACAAAAGTGTTGCATTTATATTTTTGTTCAGTGTGTATATATATATATATATATATATTAAACCTGATGTGTTTTTAATTGGGCAGAAACTTTTGAAGTGGATTGCACATTTCCTGTTTTGTCTTTAAAGGAGGCCTTTTATGCGCATTTTCAGTTACACAAATGTATTTTGACATGTCTCCATGCTTTAGTGTCCAAAAAGTTCTTTATTTTTCTCATACTGCCTGTGCTGCAGCACCTCTTTTCACCCTCTGTCTGAAACCAGAGCCCAGTCTGCTCTGATTGGTTAGCTGGCTGGCTCTGTTGTGATTGGTCAACTGCTTAGAGATGTCCGACCCCTTAGCAAATCACGTACAATGTGTTGGAGTGCTTGCCAATAGATCCGTGAGTGTTAGATAGTGATGTCATAATGTTACTAAAGTAGGGTTGGGTATCGAAATCCGGTACCGGTTCCAACATTTCGATTCCATCGGTATCGTTTAGAAATGTTAGTTTCGGTTCTGCTTATCGATTCCTAAGGAAATGCATCTCGCCGCTTTCTGTACTGTTGGACGGGGGCGGGGCGTGTAGCGAGCACATGATGTCAGTATTGTTTATGAAGCAGGGTATAGAAAAAACATTATTGAAAGGAAAATACAATGTATGTACTTTTACAAACGGTGAGCAGGTTGCAGTGTAACATCAGAGGAGACTGGGCCAACTGTACATTCTCAAACAGCACCACTTAGAACCAACTAAACAATGCAGAGATTATTTTAATATAATTGTATTCAATAACCGTAACAAAATTAAACAGTATGAAGTGATTTGTAAATAGGAATACAGATATGACTTAATGTTTTCATAAATATATTTTTCTCCCAGTGAAATTGGCATGGGACTTATTTTTACCCTCTCAAAGAACCGGAATCAAGAACCGAAAAGAACCGGAATCGAAAAGCAGAACCGGAATCGTTAAAATCCAAATGATACCCAACCCTATACTGAAGTAAGAAAAGGAGTCCAATGGGGGAGATTGAGACGGGGGGGGTGGGGCAGTGTGTGGGAGAGACACTCCCTCTAAAGGGAACACAGGGATTTTAGCCTTTGCAGACCATTTACATGCACAGAAACCTATAGAACACACTACAGGAAAGGATCATCCTAAACAGTCATACAACATTATAGATAGTTGAATGTGTAAAATGCCAACATTTGAAGGGCAATAACACGTTATATATGTGGTAAGTGTTAAAGATGGTTGCAAAGTAGTGATACAAGAACCCCATTTATTGCATTTGTGTTTAACTCCTCAACTCTGTCCCTATGACCCAGCCTTGGCAACAGCACTGGATATTGGACTCTCCAACTGGAGCTTCCTCTTCATCACCATTAGCTTGTAAGTTTCTTTTTTCAGATTGTGTAAAAGAGGATGCTACTTTAATTCAAACTGAAACACTTAAGGTTATACACATTGTAAATACCTAGTTATTGTTTGTTCCATACTTAAGTGTGGCTATTGTTTTGTGTCATTCAAGGTACACCATGACCAAATCTTCAGCAGTGCTTTTTATCCTCTTTTTCTCTCTGGTGTTTAAATTAGAAGAGCCGGTGAGTGACCTTTGTTTCCAACTTCAATCACTTGTTGAAATCATTTGTTGATATCATTCTTTCTTCCTTATTATGTTCCCTTCATAGTTGTAGTGCATACTGGCTGTAAGGAAATGGCCTTTTATCAGATAATGTGCAGCAAAGGCAGAAGTGAGAGTGATTGTTCGGACAAAGTGCAAAAAGTGTTCTCGTGATTAAATCAAATAGATTTGACTAACCCTTCACCGTCTCACCTCACTCAGTGCCTGGATTTTAAAGGAGCCACTTGTATGAAATAGATATTTTCACCGCTCTGATTGTTAGAGCAGTGCAGAGTAAAGAGGCAAATAAAAGCCTTTTTGGTCTGGGATTCCCTCTTTTTTCTCTTACTGTCTCTCCTTGTCTCTCT